TTTCTTATTTGATGTGTAAGGAATAAAAGCCGCCAAAAATTATCTTGAGAAAATGATTATTCAGAAAAACCATTTTTCATATTTAGTCAATATTTTTTCATGTATGATAAGAATGCATGAAGCGACCTAAGGTTTTTTAAAGTTTGTGAAATTTTAATTTTTTTTCTTCTTTCTATTGGGTTTAATGATAGAAGAAAACGGATTTCAAAATAAGCTTATAATTGTATCTGTACTAGGAAACCAAGATATTTATGAACGTTGTATTTGGATAGGCTACCATTTAGGGATATATTTGGCATTTTCTTTTTGTAGAAAAACTTATTTTCCATTTCTTCTTTTTTATTTATTTATTTATTTTTGCCAATGAAGGTATTTCCATCCAAAACGCAGGAATTCGTATTGCATCGTATTCTTCTTAATAATTTTTGGCCTTTGCTTTATTTTAACACTTTTCCATAATTACTAGCATCAATTATTTCTTAATTTAATCTTTACAATGTTGGAAGAAAATCCCCTACTTGCTGATAAATATTAACAATAATAATGATAATAAACCCAAAAGAATATATATAAAGAAAAATTGAGACATTCTGGTAGCAAATGGAATAGAATTACTGCTGAGTTGTCAGTTTTCAATCATTTTGGTCTTGTCTACCTTTTATTTTAATTTTGGTTCCTCTAGCCTTTTCTTTTCCTTCTCTTATTTCAAAACATATTATTGTCAATTTGGTAATTGCCATTCCTTTAAACAACAATGTAGATGTTTTTTTTTAAATTTCAATTGATTCAATAGTGTTCCACTCTCCACACATTTAATCGTAAAAATAACTCAAAAACTCATATCATTTTATCTTAGTTTATTTACTATCTTTTGTCCGAGTAGAATAAAGATAACACATATGTTTTTGGTTGCATATATCTCCTTTCATTATATTTATTCCTTAATGTTATATGAAATGACACCGCCACGAAACTCTAGAAGAAAACGGATTTCAAAATAAGCTTATAATTGTATTTGTACTAGGAAACCAAGATATTTATGAACGTTGTATTTGGATGGGCTACCATTTAGGGATATATTTGGCATTTTCTTTTTGTAGAAAAACGTATTTTCCATTTCTTCTTATTTATTTATTTTTATTTTTTTTGCCAATGAAGGTATTTCGATAATAAACAGGTAAACCATCCCATTTGGCGGCTACCAAATGAATCCCAATTTCAGTCAAAAAAATTCATTTGACAAATTGCATAAAGTAATCATATTATTATTTACTAAAATAATTCATTGATTTATTACAAGATTAACATGTAATGACGAGAATGTCCCACTCTCCAACTATGCAACGAGCCCCAGCTCGAGCAGGCAGCAACTGTATATCTTCATTTCCAAAACATAATAAAATACTAAAGGAAATTTAAAAAGTGAGACTCTCTGAGAAAATTAAACAGAGAGAAAGAGAAAGAAAAAAAAAGAAAAGAAAAATCTCAACCAGAGAATTTGGAAAAATCTAATAGCTGGTCTGGAGGTCTGGGTTTGAGAAAGGCGAAGGAGAAAGAAGGATTTCCCAAAACGACCTTTTCTTGGTCATTTGCCTCTGCGTTTGAGGCTTTCAGCCAAATCCAGGTACAGTGTTATTTGTTCATATTCTTCAGCTTGATCCAGCTAGGGTTTTTGAATTCTATGAACGTTGTATTTTACTCTGTGTGCCAATTTTTCTTGTTTGACTGCTTGTGCCTGCGTTTAGAGTTCAAATTTGGTCAATCTGCTTTCCAATTTATTCTTGCTTTAGTTGGTTGGACTGTTACTCAGTTCAAGCACTCGAATCCCATTCTGGGTCTAATGGGTGTGTGCAAATTTTGAATTTTGTATTTCAGAAAGATCACGCAAACATAGATAAATTTAAAGAAAAGAATTATCTTTGTTCATTTTTAAATGACAAATTGCATAAAGTAATCATATTATTATTTACTAAAATAATTCATTGATTTATTACAAGATTAACATGTAATGACGAGAATGTCCCACTCTCCAACTATGCAACGAGCCCCAGCTCGAGCAGGCAGCAACTGTATATCTTCATTTCCAAAACATAATAAAATACTAAAGGAAATTTAAAAAGTGAGACTCTCTGAGAAAATTAAACAGAGAGAAAGAGAAAGAAAAAAAAAGAAAAGAAAAATCTCAACCAGAGAATTTGGAAAAATCTAATAGCTGGTCTGGAGGTCTGGGTTTGAGAAAGGCGAAGGAGAAAGAAGGATTTCCCAAAACGACCTTTTCTTGGTCATTTGCCTCTGCGTTTGAGGCTTTCAGCCAAATCCAGGTACAGTGTTATTTGTTCATATTCTTCAGCTTGATCCAGCTAGGGTTTTTGAATTCTATGAACGTTGTATTTTACTCTGTGTGCCAATTTTTCTTGTTTGACCGCTTGTGCCTGCATTTAGAGTTCAAATTTGGTCAATCTGCTTTCCAATTTATTCTTGCTTTAGTTGGTTGGACTGTTACTCAGTTCAAGCACTCGAATCCCATTCTGGGTCTAATGGATGTGTGCAAATTTTGAATTTTGTATTTCAGAAAGATCACGCAAACATAGATAAATTTAAAGAAAAGAATTATCTTTGTTCATTTTTAAATTGGTAATTGTATATGTGCTTTGTTTTTATAATCTGAATGGTGGTTCTTTTTGGCTGTGATGAAAAGCACATATGGGATACAACAAATTGGAAATTTGGGATGTGTATATGAGCTGGATAAGTGGTATAATTAAATTGGCTGGTTTATGCTTCTTAGGGTCTTTTACTTTTATTAGATCATAGTTATAGGTTTGGGCAAGACGTTATCAAGGCGGGAAGCGGGAGACTTTCAGATAACTAATGAATTTGGTATCAGTATATGATTATATGCCCTAATGATGTACATATGTCAAAATGTAGTAGAGCTGAGAATTTAACAAAAGTTAGGATTTATGAAATGACATATCCTAATTTCCTTGTTTGGGTTCATAGACAAGGAAGTTTATAAATTCTATCTGGAGAAAAGAAAAACCTTGGGACTTGGGGATCATAAATCTTAACTTTAAATTTCAGCTAAATAGGTGTCATTTCCAAATTCCGAAGACAATGAGAGTATAACAAAAAAGCCACAACCATCACCACCAACCGTCCTCCGCAATCGTCGGCATCCACTGCGACCGCCTTACCATTATTGTCACCATCATTAAACCACAAGCATCGCCATCACCGCTCCCATTTTACCACTAGCACGGCCACCACCTTGCTCCGAACAACCACCAACAGCATCCCTCTCGTTGTCGTCACCACCATCACCACTATTACCACCACTACCACTTATTTACATATTGACACCTCCATAAAGATAAGCGTTAAATTTCATTTTAAAATCCCATTATGCTTAATAGGGTAGCCAAACAAGAATTTTATGAGACCTAGAGCTTCAAATCCCATATTTCTTTAGTACTCTTATACCCCCACATACAAACGTACCATAATTATATGGTAAAAATAAATGAAAACTTTTCTCAGCAAATAAGAAGAATGTGGAATTACCCAACAACCTGCAGTCAGTTATTGTTTCTTATTTTTGATATGGTTTTTTATGGTAAAAGCCCGGAAGGAAATATACGAGAGAAACAATAAAGGGC